GTCAATAAATTATGTTTATTTACGCGTGAAATCGACCAGTGTTTGTTCGATTGGTGAGAACGCGAAGATTTATGAATGAATCGACCAATCGGCGCTTCGCAATCCACGTGAACGCTTTGTTACTACCATTAAATTGTAATTAGTACGATTCTCTGTCAAAGTTATTTTTAAATAATCGGAGATGTTTTTTTTTTTCAAGCTAATAAATACGATACTTTTTCATATTTAAAGATTGTGTTCTATTAAAAACACTCCCCATATTAGTATGGCATTCACATACAGCGACTCCTAGCGGCAACTATAGATAATAAGTATTTTGATCGATTCTTTCACGGCGATATGTTTACCGAATTGTTCTTGAAATGTCAAAATTTTCAAGAAGAAATATTTCGATTAACTTCTGTGATACGAGATTTTGAAACTCGAGTGGTCTAGTGACGTCAGTATTTAATAAACATCGAACAGATGTAAACAATGATAGATCAAAACAATTTCCTTGTTTATTGAAATAATACACTCTTTTTATTAGGATTCAAATGGCTCAGGTGCTTATTTCGCATAATCCGACAATCTAACGAAGACAGCCATACAATGGCGAGGATTTTCAAAAAATTTTACTAATTTTAGAAAAAAAATTACTTCCCTTCATAGGAAGTGAAACGTTAGTCCTAATAAGGATATTAGATGGTATGGTCCTTATGATTTTATCTTTTTACTTCAAACGTACATTACTAGCTAAAATTCTTATTTTAGCACAGAAACTTCTGGATATTCCAATGTTATAGGAAATTACAGCAATTTTACATCGGTCATAAAAACTGTCCTTGAAGAAAACTTTGAATTTACCACTTATCTGGATTCACGCGAGTACACTTTTACGTATCTTGATAAATTTGGGCACAGATTCATAGTATGGATTAACTATAAGATTATATTTCATCGCGCTATACCATAATTCCTAAATCCATGTAACATATTTATTATGCCACTACACTGATAAGGTCTGCTTTTAAGATGTCAATATCAATACAATGTAATTTTTTTATTTACAAGAATCAAGGATATTTACCCGACACATATAGAATTATTTCATTTTATTGCTAACTATTCTCATTAAATCAATCTGCTACAGTTTCTGAAAAAAATCTATATTGATACCCCTGTTTCTTAGAGAAAATTATAAGTTTTTATGAGAAAACAAAACCTTAATATTTTCTCTTCATAAATAAAAAAATACTATGTATAAACAAGATGATACATTTTTTCCAATCGACAAAAGCAAAATAGTTTTTTGTACAATAGTTTAAAAAAAAAATATTTCTTTAAGATTAGATTTAGCATCACAATCGTTGTCCAATTTTATACAGAATTTATAAAAAATACCCGTAAGCGAGACGGAGTTATAGCTTCTTCCCTCTCCTATCCGTCCGCCTGTCTATCCTCATCGGTGAGACTGATTTCATGATGTCCACCACTATCTGCGAGTCCACCCTCGGCTTCTGTAATCTTTTCGCGGACCTCGTGCGGAACTTCGCCGAGTCCTGGGCCGCTACCAGGTTGGGCGTCAGCGACTTTATGCATCTGTAATATTTTACTGTATCGTTAGCCATATTATCAAATCTATTGACGCGTTCCTTGAATATAACAAATCTATTATTAGTTATTAATAAAATATTTCTGGCTACACCATTTGTATCTGGCTGGTTTCGGTATCATTAAAAAGTTTAGACTTTCAAGGTGATAACCCCGAAATCAAATTAGGAAATTTCATTTGTTTGCTTACTGGCAAAATGAGTGAATCTAATGAAGAAATTCGATGCATTTCAAAAATAAACTGAACGAGTAGGAAATTATATTGATTAAGATTCATACATGCTGGCCTCAGCGAGTTCCAGTTATGAGTTTTGCGGGCCACATGTTGTTTATACTCGTTTTCGAGTAAAACTATCAGGTACTTGTATGCTAGTATGGATCACAATATGTATGTACAGCCAGCTGCACGTCACACTATACAAATCTGTCAAATTTTTATCACTTGATTCTAAACCTTAAGGTTTGTGGGTAGAGTTTAAAATCAACTGCAGAAATTTAATATATTGTTCACACAGCACGCGAGAGTAGCGTCGACCTTTCATTTCCGAATAGAAAAAAACATAGACTTAAAAATGAAACGACAGTACAATAAAAACTAGGAAAATCATATTTGTTTACACAATCAACTTACAGCTGCACTCTTCGATTAAACGTTACATTTTTAAAGTAAACTAGTCCAGCCAGGGTGTTGGTGTTTTACAATTAACCCTGTATATGAGATATAGTAGACCGACCGAGACCGAGTAGCTCGGTGGCGTAGTGGATAAGCGCCGCGGCCCACGATCGTAGTCGTTAAGCAACTTTCGCAATTGTCGGTCACGGGATGGGTGACCAAAAAATTATTATCTCGAGCTACTCCGTGCTTCGGAAGGCACGTTAAGCCGTTGGTCTCGGCTGCATTTGCAGTCGTTAATACTCTCCAATCCGCATTGGGCCAGCGTGGAGGGTCATGGCCCATCCTCCTTAACCGTCCATAAGGAAGGCCCAAGCTTCTGCAGTGGGGCCGTAAAAGGGCTGGTGATGGTGATGATGAGATATAGTCTAGTCTGACGTTGGCATATAGGCTAGTTGAGGTTTTTGAGCATTTTTCATTAAATATATAATCATCAGTATAACACTTTGAATACAATATTAACAACATATGTAGTGTATATAATGTTATCACCTGGCTGCCTCCTGCAGTTTCCTCGCCAGCAGCTCGTTCTTCATCTTGGCGGCGGCCAGTTCCCTCCTCAGCTGCGACTTGCTCTTGTTACACGAAGGGTACAACAGCGGATGTTTACGGAGCCGGGACGCTGACGGTCTCACTGTCGGGTCGGGATCCACCATTTTCTGTGTTTTAAACAGTTTATATTATAATCTGTATCAGCCCTTCCCAAAGTGGGCAATAACGCCACCTTGTGGGCGTTGCAGGGCTAAAAGAGGGCGATTTGTAATTCCATATACGAGGACTCTTCGACACTAACTGAGGTTACGACTATCGACTCAAACTTGTGAATATCAAGTAATAATATTAATTAAGAGATTGCTCATAATAACTCGGTTCTATATTTCTATCGTGTAATTTATATATACATATCTGTCAATAAAACATTATTGAATGAATGAAATAAATTCAATGTGAATCGGTCACTCCATTTAAAAGTCTTATTTAGAATGAGTTTTAATTTCCGCTAATATAGCTCCCAATAATTAATGTAATTTGAAGTTATAGTGGTATTTAAGTAGGTGAAAAAATGGGGGAACTTATTTTTTTTTTATTCTCAAAGTGGGCAGTAGATGACATAAGTTTGGGAACCCCTGATCTATACTAACATCATAAAGCTGAAGAGTTTGTTTGTATGGTTGGACACGCTAATCTCAGGAACTACTGCAGAGGTATTTCGTAAACATCCGAACCCAAACAGGATTCACGTCATTTCTATTGATTCCACTTTTTGTATAAAAATACAAAACAAGATTGATTGATTCATGCGTCTCCAATATTCTATCCGTATGCCATTTTGAAGCTCACTTCACTTATGCCACGAAAAGGTTATACAAGTGCAAAGTTAAGCTGTCACTTTCAAAGTGAATTCGAATACCTTAATGATTTTGAATTCGGGTTCGGTTTCGGATTTTTACGGAATCGCAGGACTGGAATAGTGCAAAGGAAAATAGAAAAGTCGTGTTCATATAATGAAAAAATCCAGAAATCGAATATGTAAAGGAAAATAATTCAACATTCGATAAATTCCTACTCACTTTTAACAGTTGATTGAACTCCCTGGACAGGTTGGGCAGGTCGGGCAGTTTACCGTCGCGGTAGTCGTGCCACTGCTGACCGTTCTTGGGCAGCGGACCACCACCGCCAGCTTCGAACAGCGTCAAACCTGTTGACAGTAAAAACAAAACTTTTATTTAGAATATTATCTTGTATGACGACCTCCGTAGCAGAGCGGTACGCACACCAAGGAGTCGATTCGTATAGAGTTCGATTTCCGGTCGGGTCATTGTGGAAAATGAAATTTTCTTTATTTATCTCAGGTCTAGGTGTTGTGGTACAATAGTTGTCTCAAATACGCCATTATACGATGGAGCTTTAGCTACTCATCTTAGAGTTTAAGCAATGTATGTGATGTCTATAGACAAATCATACAAGCCCAAAGTCGATGGGATTACAGTGTAGTTTCACTACTAGGTTTCCGCCAGCGGCTTCGCCCGCGCGGTCCTTAATATATCTTCCTCTTGCATCACTCTGTATATCTATAAAAACTGAATTAAATTCCGTTGTGTAGTTTAAAAGATCTCAATGTACAGACAGCGGGAAGCAACTTTGATTTATACTATGTATAGATTACAGAAACAAATTTTAGCGATAACTTTGTATTTTTACTCTATAGACAAAATTTTAGATAAGACAATATGGATTGAACCTAACCCTGCCATGCGCTTGCGCACATAATGAAGTGATTAGAGAGTTGAACTGAAAGATAGTTTAAGGGTGCTTCCACTTTCACGTTTCAGTTATTCTTTCATCCGGTAATGTTTCCACGTGCCCGTACAGACGACGCATGCCTTCAACGTTAACACCGATATTATCTTTTAGATCTAGATAATGATTACTTTGACGGTTGAAAACCTCAAATTCCTATTATATCAGATTTGATTTAGTCCTTATCTCGTTACGATAAAGTACAAAGTTCAATTAAATGTGTATTACGTCATTTATAAATAACTATTTGTATGTTATAGATAAATGATTATACAATTTTATCTAGGGTTATACATTATATTTAATTTGTAATATTTATTACTAAACTGCTTTTGTAAGTGCCGTAATTTCTTAGCAAACTCACATAAGAGTAATGTCATAAAAGTCAATAGCGTGGTACACAGCTATGGTGGAGATTCAAGTAAATTGTTTTAGAACGTTGCTTGTGAATATCCTCATGTCTTATCCACAATAAAACTATCGTCATACCAGCAGAGCACACCCCTATATTTCTAAATTTATCTACAACATAATCAAACTTCAAGTGCCAGTGTCCAAACGTTCGCGATGGTGAAAGCACGCAAGTACATCGTAAAGCAACCATTCGTGGGCCTCCCCAAACGTGAAGACTTCGAAATAGTAGAACACCAGTTGCCACCCATAAAAAATGGCGAGATCCTAGTCAAAGTCGAATGGGTAAGCGTTGATCCTTATATGAGAGCGTATAACGGTCGTTTTCCAACGCCTTACGACCAGTTCGGTTTCAATGTGGGCACCGTGCAAGACTCGAAAGATCCCAGATACCCTGTGGGGAGGAAAGTGGTTACGCACAAGGGCTGGTGTGATTATACAATAGCGAACGCTTCGTCGGAAACTGATAGAGTTTATAAGCTGCCGGATTTGAAAGGCCTGAATGAGTCTTTGGCCGTGGGAGCCGTGGGTATGCCCGGTGCGACCGCCTATTTCGGATTGTTAGAGATATGCAAGCCTAAGGCGGGAGAGACGGTGGTTGTTACTGGAGCGGCGGGTGCGGTTGGAACTGTTGTAGGACAAATTGCGAAGATAAAAGGTTTTTATATTCACACTGAAACGTTTCCTATTCCGTGGCAGAGTGACTCACACGCTGATTTCAAGTGGCGCCATCACTGGCGTTGTCGATTCGATTACCTAACCAACCAAATAATGAAGCCGGCGTGTGAGCGATTCGGCCACAGAACATATTATTATACTTCACTATATATAGAATTATTCTTGTTAAATTATTATTTTTGTAGTCGGTCATTAGACGATCGATCTGGATCGTGATCGTATGACAAAATCAAATTATCTGAATAATATGCGATCCGTATCAATCAACACACTACACGATCAATCTGATCATGATCACAGACCGATTTGAAGCCCGATTTGATCGTCTAATGGCCCGTTTTTAATATAGATTCCAATATTTTTATAACAATCCACCGCGGTATGCAAATCTAATCAAACGTCAATATCAAAGTGACAGTGACAGCTTATTGACACATAGTGATGCAGGTATACAATCGATAAATAATAGTCGATATTTTTCCTCTCACAAAATACAGCGATATTTAAATTACATTTATCCGCACAGGTTGCACAGTGATCGGTTTCGCGGGTACAGACGAGAAATGCCAGTGGCTCCAATCGCTGGGTTTCGACAAAGCGTTCAACTACAAAACAGTAGACGCGAGCAAGGTACTAAAGGAAGCGGCACCTAGCGGCATCGATTGTTACTTCGACAACGTGGGCGGGGAACTGAGCAGCATTATCATAAGTCAGATGAACGTACGCGGACGGGTAGCTGTATGCGGAAGTATAAGCGCTTATAACGATACCTCTCTACCAGAGGCTACTATACTGCAGACATATTTAGTGTTCAAACAGCTGAAAATTGAAGGATTCATAGTAGATAGATGGTTGGGACAGTGGAACGTCGCGTTCGCGGATATAATAGGTTGGATCAAGTCCGGCAAAATGAAGACTCAAGAGCACGTTACTGAAGGTTTCGATAATATATACGATGCGTTCGTCGGCATGCTGCAGGGCGAAAATACAGGGAAAGCAGTTGTCAAAATCTGACTATAGCACGAACGTCCTTTTTTAATAATTTTATTTATTTGTAAATTAAAAATTCAACAGTTGAGACGTTTTTAAAGTTACATCACAGACTATGTAGGTTTCTAGAGAAAAAAGGTTTATGAAAAACATGCCAATTGGTCATTTAGAAAAGGGTAGCCTGGCAGAGATTGCTTACCTTAGCAATAAGGTCTATGTTCCTAATTATATTATTAATATTTTTTACATTATATGCTTTAGTGTAATAGTTTTACTGTATGCAATAAAGTATATATTAATTCATGAAAATTGCTATTCATGAACACCCTTTTTCACCCTGATTTATGATCACCCTACCAGAACCTCTGGTTTTAATCAACAATTCTTAAATTTATTTACTACTATTAAAATAACTATTAATAAATTCACATTAATATCAATATTTTAATCCTACAAAGCTGTTGAGAAAAATTTTGAACAATATTAATATTTAATACTGTATCAGTTAACGTGTTTCATCTTTCAATCAATCAATCAAAACATTTATTTGCTCAAATATTGTGTCAGTACAGTTGTTACATAGGTTTCATGCTCTATTTTGCCTTATATAGTAGGCGTGCAAATATTATATTTCTAAAGTCATTAAATTTTTTAAATAATTTTGAAGTGGCAGGTCACTTCATTGATAAGTATATCTTTAAACGATACTATATCTGCCCTTGATAATAGTAAAGATAACAATTTACTATACATTTTTAATCAAGTCATATTGTTTTTTGTAATTCGATAACATGTCAACGATTTATAAAAAAAAAAACCGGCAAAGGTCGAGTCCAATTCGCGCAAAAACTGTTCCATACCATTATCTGTAATAAATGAATATATTATATTATAGGGTCCCGATTTTACCCTTTGGGTACGGAACCCCAATCTAGTTCCTAACTGTTGAAAAAAATTTTATTCATAGAAAATAAACGTTCATGTTATTGGAGTTGTTGATTAAAACTTTAATTGTTTATTTAAGAATTACTTTGTCTACTTAAGCAATGGTATTTTCCAATACATATTTCGAAAAACAACTGATGCCATCTAGTGAGGGTTATATAACTATATTTTATACTATATCAATTCAATCGTCATCAATTTTATTGAATAAAATATATGGATATTAAATTTAAAAACAAAATCAAGCCATTTAAATCATTATTATATCGTCGAACCAGTCGAACGCTCCGGTTATATACTTGAATAAGGTGAATTTATGTAAATGAGGAGCTCCACGGCGCAATGGTTAGCGCGTTCGAACTGCGATACGGATGTTAAGCAACTTTGGCGAAGGCCAATGATAGGATGGGTGATCAAAAATATACTATTAATCAATCTTCTCCGTGCTTCAGAAAGCATGTTAAGCCGTCATTAACACCCACCAATCCGCATTAGGCTCGCGATCCGCATTGTCCCTATACGATTACATTCGACCCCACCCATAGGGAACGCTCGAGCCCTAGCAGTGGGAATAACAATGGTCTGGTGATATGATGTAAGATGTGAACTCACCGAACGCAAATATGTCCGCCTTAGTGAGATGCGTGAAGTCCTCCTGCAGGACCTCCTTCGGTAGATATCTGCAGTCACCCTCCTCGACCGAAGGCGACGATACACACGTCACGTGACCGAGGTCGCCTACAGAACAGTACGCCGTTGTGTACAAGTAAATTTAATAAATAAACTATCACAATTCCTGTCTCAATTCGGTTCACATTCTTGTTGATTTTTGACGATTGAAGCATTTTTGGTATCCCGTAGCCGAACGGCATAAACAGAACCCTTATTCGTTGTCTGTCTGTCCATTTTTTTTGATGTGCCACAAGCAATTTACTCCAAAACTTGTTAACACAAATTAAAGAAACTCAAGGAGAGACTAAAAATGTTTGTCTACTGTGTCTTCAGATAAGTCCTGTTTAATGTTTAAAACAAGAGAGTGAACAATCAAAAACAGTGTAAGCTAACGGACAAAATTTGTATGAACAAGATATAGTCAGTTATTTCTTAAGATATAGTAGATTTTCAAAATGTATAAGTAAATGTTGCTCACCTATCTTGTACATGTATTGAGGCGCGTCATCACCATATCCATCATCCGAGTCCTGGGCCCGGGCAGCCTCCCCCGTGCACACGAATATGTTGCCCGGCTTCACGTCCATGTGGGCCAGGTGGAGCGAGTGTATGTAACTGTTTATAGACGTATATCTATATAATAAGCAGCCACTACTTATGGCTACGCAAAAATAATATTTGTCTTATCTACAACGGTAGCTAAGCGGGAGAGCCAATTAAAATAAATGGCGCTAGTGATATATTTAATAATATTTACTTGATTATCATATAAATTTTCAGAGACAATGTGAATATTTAATGATAAAACTTATATTCCTAATGGCAATATTAGAAAAATACGAGTATTCGAATTGGTTGAAGGATTGGAAAGATATTCGATAAAAAATATTAGGATCAAATATATGTGCATGCCCTAGTCGAGACCAAGTGACAGCTGTCAGATTATGTATGGCAACTAGCGCCACTATCTTCTCAGAATAACGACCGTTACGTCAAATTTCATTAAATGTAAAATAAATATAATAAAATGACTACACTTACGATAGTCCATCGGCTATGTGTGCCAACAGTAGGAGAAGTTCACTCTCCGATAGTGGTCCATCCTCCATCTTTTGTTGCAACGAACCACCATCACAATATTCATTCTGTATTATCATATGATCGTTCTCTGCCCAAGCTGAATAGTATCTGTCGACAACAATATACTCTATTATGTATACATAGCATAAAACAATGTCACTCCCCATTGCCTGTATGCTCAGATCTCTTAAACTATACAACGGAATTCATTTATTATAACAATATCGCAAATTATAATAAAAGTGCATCACGATCGGGAGGAATGGCGAAACAAAAAAGAGACCTATGTCGGACAACAACCCGACCAGCAAACGATGGCTGCTGATGCATAAATAAAAGCCTGCTATCGAGAAAATATATTTAAAATTAAGCCAATGTATTTAAAGAAGTTTGTATACCGACGCATTCGCTTGCGAAACTATACGAATGATGACCTTTTGAGATACCAAATTCTTAATTTATTGTACTTTGACTTTAATATTTAATATTGACAATTAATTGTATTTTGACTTTAATATTTGCACATTGACTTGACGATAAAATATGCTGGTCTAAAATTGTAAAACTAACTTGTAACCATATTTTCGCAAATAAATATTATTAATATTCGGTTAGTCATCAGAAACAGGGTTTGGTGGCAACCCTAAATGCGTCCGTTTAACGACCTCATTCGTAGTTGACTGCAAAACTATACCGACGTATAATATGATGAATATGATGAACATAACAAGTTACAATCATATACATGAATTCAATAAATTATATTATTAAAATAAGACCGACTATAACCCGGTAAAGTGTGTCTGAAACAAAAGTAACGGTTTGCATTATGTAATCTAAGCAGCCAGATATTATATCACTTGAATACATAATATTGGCTTAATTTAATCTAAAAATATATTAAAAAATGATGGAATCAACAATAAAATAGTTGCAACTGCTTTAAGAAAAATATTATTATTATGCAAATAAATCAACTGACAAGTATATATTTTTCCCAATTATAGCGCCATCTATCGCGACCGAGGCGTGACTAACCTGACGACGTGCGGGTGCTTCCCGAGCGCGGCGTGCGCGTACACCTCGGTGAGGGCGGCGCGCTCGGCCGCGGAGCCGGCGACGGGGCGCAGCGAGCGCTTGACCGCGTACACGCAGCCGTCGAGCTTGTTCACGCACCGCGTCACCAGGCCGAACTGCCCGCGCCCTATCACGCCCAGCTCCACGAACTCCACGTTGTACCGCGATATGTTCGACTCCTACGCCACGATAAGGAAAAAGTTAAAAAAAACATCAATTTTGCGTTCACAATACTGTACTGAAAAATAATCTTAATGAAAAATGCTTAAAAATACACTGTCTATATCAGAGGTTCCCAAACAATCTTTTATCGTAGACCATTTAAAAAAAAATACTGGTTCCGGTGGACAAATTTTTACCATATTCCCAAAATTCGTCCAAAATGTGAAAATCTAACGATGGAAATTGGCGCCCTATTTTTATTTCAAGCCAACGTAGACCCCCTCGTGGACCCCTGGATCACTTAGGGAATCACTGGTCTATGTAGTAGCGAAAAAGTAACAGGTGCTCGAAAAATTCATCAGTCCTGTTAGGTTAGGATTGCGACAGGTCATTTTTTAAGTATTCTCCATTTAATAGGAATAAAATAATTAACTTATTGAGAAATTGACACTGGAACATAATTAACAATTAAATTTTTGTTTCTCCAGTCTTCATCACTATCACAACATAGTATAAAACAAAGTCGCTTTCTGTCCCTATATCCGTATGTATGCTTAAATCTTTAAAACTACGCAACGGATTTTGATGCGATTTTTTTTTTCATAGATATAGTGATTCAAAATGAACGTTTTTATGTATAAGACGAGACCACGCGGACGAAGCCGCTGACGGAAAACTAGTTAACTATAAATGCAAACGATAACCATTTTTGTTACATGCAACTCACTTCTCATAACATGTCCGTATGTATCTGATAGTCCTCAATTTTTAATAGATACAGATAACCATATTATTTAAGGAAAGAACTGCCTATTTTCCAGAACTGTAATATTAATTGATATTCTTCTTCTATAATCCAACTAAATAGATTAGGCTAGATTTTTTCACTCTCTTCTCTGTCATGTTTTCAACTGAACTCACCCTCAATCTCTTAGCTGGCTGTTCGGGAGTTGCGTCCCACGTCGGTGTTTTGGATAGTGCTCGTTTCTTTTTATTCAACGCTTGACCTGTAATAAATTCAATGTTAGAAACAAAAATATTGCCATTGTTAAAAAAAAAAACCTTTAGATCAAATAAATTATATTCTTTTCATCATACAATGTTAACAATGGTCAAATTATTATTTTACATTGTACTAGAATTACTGAAGTATTTTTTTCTG